GAATAATCAATGGGTCACACAAGAAATTAAGGAAGAAATTAGACAGTTTCCACAATCAAATGATAATTCCAGTAGTACATACCAGAAACTATCTGACATAACAAAAGGGTCCTAGGAGGGAAGTTTATAGTGGTGAATTCCCACATCAGAAAAAAAGAACGAGCTCAAATAACCTAATGATGAACCTCCAGGTCTTAGAAAAACAAGAACAATCAAATATAAAGGTAGTACAAGGAAGGAAATTATGAAGATCAGAGGAGAAATTAATGAAATTGAGACTAAAAATCAATACAAAGAATCAGTGAACCAGAGAGTTGGTTCTTTGAAAGAATAAACAAAATAGACAAACCCTAAGGGCCAAATCTATGCAATTAGTAACGAAAAAGGCAATATCACAATATATTTTGCCAAAACCCAGAAGATCACTGGTAACTACGTTGAGAGCCTGTACTTCAATAAATGGAAAATTCAGACTAGGCATGGTGGCTCAGGGCTATAACTGTAGCACTCAAGAGGCTGAGGCAGGAGGATCACTGTGAGCTCAAGGCCAGCCTGGGCTTCATAGTGAGTTCAAGGTCAGCCTGAACTACATAGTGAGACCCTGTCTCAAAAAACTAAAAATAGATAAATAAATAAATGGAAAACTTGGAAGAGATGGATAGATTCCTAGATACATATGAACTACCAAACCTGAACCAAGAACATATAAAAATCCTGCATAATCCAGTATCAGTCAATGAAATTGAAGAAGTAATAAAAACTACCAACTGGAAGATGGCAGAGTGGTGAACGGCAGGGAAACAGCCTCTCTCAGATTTGGTGTCCAGAAGCTGGACTATAGTAATGTGAGGATGAAAAGGAGGGAACTGGGCCTCTGGGACCTAGCAAGGATCTGAAGTGAGAATTGAAGCCCACAGCAGAGTGAAGAGACTTCAACAAAGAAGGAGGCAACAAGTGGCGCTTTCTCCCTGAGACTCACTGTGGGGAAGGGCAACTCAAACCTTTGGATGCACTGTGACCACTGGTGACCCCAGAGGCCTCCATGGAGAAACACATGTGGAATAGAGCAGTGAATGTAGTGGACTGCAGTGGCTGATGAGTTATTCAGGTTTAGACATCCCCCAGAGGAGGGCACCTGGCTGGTAGCCATCTTGGAGAGGGCCCTACTGAGCTTGGAACGAAGAGCAGCTGTGTGGACTTGGCTCTATCAGGATGAGGTGGAACCGAATTCAAGTTGGCAGGAGGTCAAGGAGCCAAGTTTAAGCTAGAGGGAGGCACAAAGGGTGTTGCAGCCTGAACAAAATGGGTTTGAGCCTCATAGCCAGAAACTAACCTGAGCTTCAGAACTAAAGGTGCAGACTTGCTGGGATCATCCACACCATAAATCTATCTCTGGCTTGTTGCGATTAGTCAACATGGATCTGGACTCTACCTACTTTGTCTACCAGTGACAGCAGAGACACACTTTGAAGTGAACTCTTTTTTTACTATTATTTTCTTGTTTTTGTTTTGTTTTCTTTTCTTGATAGTTTGTTCTTGTTTTTATATAGGTGTGAACACTGTTTCTAGTTTTGTTGCCGTTGTTGTTCTGTTCTTGTTTTTATTACTTCCTTTCCTCTTCCCCTTCTGTCTTCTTCACCAGTTTTCCAAAAGTTTGTGTAATCTTCCTTTGTTCTCTAGCTTTGCTTCAAATCTCCTCCTTTTCTTCTATTTTGCTATTTTTCCCCCCAACCTCTTTTAAATTTTCTCCCCTGAGGGTAAAATCACCACAGAGGGGATATTTACTATAGTACCCTGAAAAAGGAGATTGAAGAGGACATCAGAAAATGGAAAGATCCCCCATTCCTGGATCAGTAGAAGCAATACAGTAAAAATGGCCAAACTTAGAAAACTGTTACATGGATTTAATACACACCCAATCAAAATGCCAATAGTATTCCTCACAGAATGAAAGAAGGCAACCCCAAAATTCATATGAAACCAGAAGACACCTAGAATAGCAAAAGCAATTCTGGGCAACAAGGGGAAGTGAGGGGGATCACAATCCCAGACTACAAAGCTACACTGATAAAAACAGCATGGTATTGGCAAAAACAAACAAACAAACGAACACCAAACCAGACTGTGGATCAATGGAACAGAATAGAGGATGCAGAAATAAATAAATCTTTGAAGCAGTCTATATATATGTTCATCAACAGATAAATGGAGGGCTGGGGATTTAGCTCAGTGGTTCTGCTGTCTGACTCGCAAGTAGAAGGTCCCGAGTTTGATCTTCGGTACCAAAAACAAACAAACAAACACCCCACATAAATGGATAAAGAAAATGTGCTATTTATACATAATGGAGTACTACTCTAACTTCAAGAAGGATAAACTTGAGACATTTGTAGGAATATGAGTACACCTTGGGACCATAATATTAAGTGAAGTAAATCAGACACACAAACTTAAATATTGCATGGTTTCTTTGATACGAGAAACCCAACATATAAATAAGGTACCAAATAAGCCAGGCTTGGTGGCACACGCCTGTAATCCCAGCACTTGGGAGGCTGAGGCAGGAGGACTGCCCCAAGATCAAGGCTAGCATGGGCTACATAGTGAGTTCTAGGTCAGCTATGTACTATATGGCAAGACCCTGTCTCAAAAAACCAAAATTACAAAATAAAAGACAGACAATAAAAAAAAAAAAGAAAAAGAAAAAAGTTATTGAAATCCAGCAATCCAGCATGGCCAGTGTATCTAAAGGTATAATTTGATTTAATACAATTGTTTTTTATGTTTTGGGGCCTGTTAGTCTGGCTGTTAATCTGTGTTTATGGTAATTAATTTGATAAAGACATACAAAATAAGTAAATAAAACCTGACGCTGGCAAGAAAGAAAAAAACAGTGGTAGAAGGGAAGGAGAGGAGAAAGAACTGAGATGTGTTATGTACATGTACCAATTCCCCACAATGAATGTAATCATTATGTACTGCAAATATGTATTAATAAACAAGTTTTTAAAAACTACACAAAACTATGGAAACATTGTAGTACTGTGTTGCTTTTTTTCTTTGGTATCTGGGATTGAACTCATGACTTTGCGATGGCAAGGCAGGTGTGGTGTGACTGAGCTAAATCCCCGGGCCTATGTTGCATTTTCATAACAAAAAATGACAAACTAATACAAATTTTTATGTCTATATTTTTAAATAAACAAATGAACTTAAAATTCTTGGCTTTATTCAGATAATCTCATTTCAAAAAAGAAAAAAGTCCTATAGATGGAAAATCCATTATGTCCCCTAAAATATATATAAGTGGCATTTAAAATAAAATGAATAAAAATTATCTACCTTACCCAAAATACTCAAGACAAAAACATGTGAAAGGGCACAGAAACAAATCAGTTTATCGCACAAATCAAAGGCTTTCACTTACATTTTATACCACAATGCAGCAAACCAGGAGAGGCTGCTTTCTTCTTAAAGTTACTGAGTCCAAGGGATATCTAACCTAGCTAGTAAACCAATACTTTCTTGGCCAGCTCCTCTCATCTGCATGTCTTCTTCTTTTCAATACTAGAACAAAATACCACCACTTGTAACTAAGCTAAGCTTTTAATCCATGCCCTATCTTCCTCAAACCCTGTGCAAAATAAATCTCTCTTCCTTCCACATTTTCAACTTCTACTATTGCTTCTCTGTTCAGATTGCCAAGTACTCTGCTGCATTGGATTCCTTATAAATCTTCCTGTCTTCAGTCCTACTCATAGCTCCCAGCCACCTAAGCTTTACTGTCAGGGACATACTGCTAACATGCAGTTAATCATGTTAGCCCAATTCTACTTTACCCATATACACATCTTGAAATTTCAATAGGTTAGATTTCCATTATCTAGAGAATGAAGTGTAAAACCTTTTACATGGCATTTAAGACCTTTCCTATTCTGGTCTTTATGTTATTTGTTCCTTTTCTATCACTCCCCCAAGCCTACAGATTTTATATTTAACCAATACGGAGCTACAGTTCCCACCATTCCAATCTCCATCTACCTGTCTGCAACATCCTGCTTCTGTTTTAATTCCTGGCAAAAGCCTTCATTGTAATAGTTCCTCTTTTGTGATGTGTCCCTGACTCTTCAGGTAGACTGATGTTCCCTCACCTATGTTGCTTCTGTAGTTTATATCCTCCCCCATTTTTTTGTGGTGCTAGGGGATCAAATCCAGGGCCTTGCTCATGCTAGGCCAATGCTCTACCACTGAGCTACATCCTCATTTTTGTACATCCTTTTATGATGGCAATTATTATAGTATTTTACTAAATTTTATTAAGGGGTAATTGGCAAATAAAAATTGTATATACTTCAGGTATACAAGTGACGATTTGATATACATATGCACTATGAAATGATTTCCACATTTCATATTGCACTTAGCATGGCATAATACCTGACACATAACATACTTACCGAATGAAGAGTTTTGATTATGTGAGTAAAGAAACTTAGAAGATAAAAATACAACAACTTTCATAATTGTTAACAGGATGGGAGAAAAACAAGCAAAAATAATCTTTACCCTTCATCTCTACACTATAAATCAAAACTATTACATCAAGGCAAGGAAAGGCAAGGGAAGGTCCTCATTCTACTCCCATCACTCTGTCTTTTTGGTTTGTAACTGCACTGCAGCCATCAGTTCTAACAAGGAGAGAGGTTTGCCTGCCAGCACCCTGAACTCTTCTCAGTCCTGACATCACTCTCACACTCAAGACAAAGGAACCTCCTCCAACAGAGCCCAAGGGACCTGGACACAAACTGATCCTAGCTGTAGCCTGGCCACTGTGTCTATTAATAACAAACTTATTCACCAGCTTGTAATTATATATAAGACTAAAGAAACAGATGAAGTATACTTTGAGAAAACCTGATGTCATTAGGTAGAAATGCTTCTGAATCTGCATACTTAGGACAAAGGCTCACATCTGATCATTTCAGAGCCACCTCAGTTACCTGCTATTTTGATATTCATGTTGTTATCTAGCAGAAGATTTTCAGCCTTGAGGTCACGATGCACAACCTTCCGACCATGACAATAATCAACAGCAGAAAGGATTTGCCAGAATTTTCTCCTGGCTTCAGACTCACTTAACCGGCCATGGTTAGCAAGGTAGTCTATAAAAGAAGAGAAAATTTAGAATTATTCACCAAAATAAAATAGCTCTAGTATCAGCCTTCAGGATTTTTCTTTTTTTGGTCTCAATCAGTTTTTTAAAAAAGAACACTTAGTATTCAAATGATATGCAGTTTTCTAAGTTTCTTGCCTTTGGAGAAGTAAAAGTCCAATCATATCTTACTGGAGTCCAGATAAACAGTAAGAACCCAAGATCAGATGACAGCAAGTGGCACAAAAATCATAGCTCATTCAGAATGATTTTCAAGCTGGGTACGTTGGTACACACCTGAAACCCCAGCTACTCAAGAGGCTGAGGTTGGAGGATCTCAAGTTCAAGCCCAGCCTGGGTAACTTAGTGAGACTCTGTCTCAAAATAAAGAAAATAAAAATGCTCAGTGCAAAGGCCCTGGGTTCAACCCCCAGTGCCACACAAACAAAAACCCACCACCACCACCACTAGAACAAAATGCCAGGGAAGTAGTTCAATGTGAGGCCTCTGGGTTCATCCCTAGTAGGGGTAGGGTGGGGTTCACGCTAGACTCTTCTTGTATTTTTTTTTTTTCAGTACTGGGGACTGAACTCAGGATCTGAAGCATGTTAGGTAAGCACAGTCAACCAATGACCTATGTCCCAACCTTTTTTATTTTATTCTTTTTTCCTGGTACCGGGAATCGAACTCAGGACCTTGTGCTTACGAGGTTGGCATGGTGCCGCTGAGCTAAATCCCTGGCCCTATTTTATTCTATTTTTTATTTTACTACTTAGTTGCCAAGACTGGGCTCAAACTTAAGATCCTCCTGCCTCAGCCTCTCAAGTAGCTGGAATTACAAAGATGAACCGCCTATATTTTTGTTGAAAATTTTGAGTATTTCTCCTAACCATATTTAAAAAATAAAATTTATGTAAGACAAAGAACATGAAAGAATTCTTTGGCATCTCATCAGACAAGGAACATCTAGTTTTTTTGTTTTATTTTGTTTTTTGTTTTTTGAGACAGGGTCTTGCTCTGTAATTCAGGCTGGCCTTGAATTCACTGTGTAGGCCAGGCTGGTCTCGAACTTGTGGTAATTCTCCTGCCTCAGCTTCCTGAGTGTTGGGATTCCAGGCATGCACCACCATATTGGCTAGAGACATCCAGTCTTAAACACTGTTCCTACACATACTATACAATGCACTAGTAAAATGAGAGTAATATGCAAGTAGCTTACATAATGCACACACTACTCTGTTCAAAGGAATAATTCTGATCTACCTAAAAACATATGGATTTGTTCTCCAGACCACTGTCCCAATAGCCACGACAAATGACTATAAGCCATGATTATAAGACAAATATATTTTGTAAGATATGAATGTATCAGCTATCTTTGTGTATATCATGATCTCTATTAGTTTACTTGAATATTAATTCTACATGTACTATGTATATGAATTCAATGTAACTAAATATTGTAACTCATTCAATTTTTTTTTTTTGGTACCAGGGATCGAACATGGGACGTAGCGCTTGCGAAGCAGGTGGTGGAACCACTGAGCTAAATCCCAGGCCCAACTCATTCAATTTTTACTGGAAGCTCTAAAAGTCCTCTGAAATTAATTTTTTAAGGAGAGATCAATATACACCTTAAAGGACTTAATTAGGAAGCTATGAGGATATGATGAGTTCAAGGCCAGCCAGAACTATGTAACAAGACCCTGTCTCATGGGGGTAAAAGAAAAAGACTTATTTAGGATAATTTTCCTCAATAAGGAATTATATGGGTAAATCAATATTTAGTCACCACACATTTTCTGCTGTAAAGTATGTAGTTGGTTTTGAAATTCCAAAACCAATGGCCCATGGCCCACACCCTTTTTAATACTTCTATAGAATTTACTAATACTTGTATAAGACTTTATAGTTTACAAAGGTTGTGGTTTGACTCTTCAATGTCCCCCAACAATCATATGCTAAAGGTTTGGTTGCCAGCTTGTGGAGTTCCTGGGAAGCAGTACAACTCCCACGAGGAGGGACCTGGTTGGAGGAAGCAAGTCACTGGTGCCTTTGAAGGGTACATCCTGCCCATGGCCCTTTACTCTCTCTGCTTCCTGTCTGCCATAGGGTGAGCAGCTCTATTCCACTAAGCCTTCTGTCATGATCTTTCTGCCTCACCACAGACCTAAAAGCAATGGAGCCAGCTGACCATGGACTGAAACCTCTGAAATTATGAGCCAAAATACACCTTTCCTTCTTTGATTTGTTATTCTCAATTATTTTGTCATGGTGACAAACAGCTGACTAACACACAGAGCATGTTCATATTGCAACATCTCATTTAATCTTCCCTCAAATGTCTATGGACAACTATTACTTTAATTTCTATATTACATACGAGAAAGCAGAAAATCAGAAGGATTAAGTAATCTAGCTGAATTTGTACACCTGATAAATGAATTAGTTGATTTGGGACCAGAATCTCTGATTAAACTCTTTTATAATCTCAAATATCTCTACTAGGATCTTGTGGAAAGCCTATTCATCCTTTTGAAACCCTGCTCCAGTGACATTCTGCCTTTTAAAAAAGTCCCTCACCACTTCAAGTAGATATAATTTCTTCTTTTTTTTTTTCCCATTAAGTTTACTGGTATATTTTAGTTATAAAATACACTTACATTCATCATTGGGATCTTGCACCATTACATAAGTATCTTGGTTCTTATTTTTTTCCTCTTCCCCTGCCCTCCCTTCACCCCTTCCACCCTTCCCTATTTGCAAAGACTTTGTTTCCATTTTTTTCCTTTTCTCATATTTTTTCTTTTCCCT